ATATGTATCACAGTGACCTACATTGGAGTAACCTACATCAGTTTAATGCTTCAACCATAGATGCGGGCATTAAATTAGGCCGCCATTCAAACGAAAAGTGCCATAAACTAACAAACAAAATATTAAAGATACCCTCGAAATTTTCTGGAAGGTGTTTTTTTTTGACATTCAGTATAATATTTTCAATTAAATTTTTAATATCAATATATAATCAATTCAATATTCTATTGCAAACAGGTTTTTGAATTTGAATTTAAATTCATGTCTCAAAACATTCTATATAGAAACAAATAGAAAACAAATAATCTCTGTACTTTATTATAAACAGAAGTAAAAAATTATCTCCATGAAAAAGGCATCACCGTCAATTTTCATATATTTTTTGTGATAATTGGAACTCTGGGATCATTTTTGCACACTTTAGGCTAATTAGACCAGGACCTACAGTTTAACGTGGATTCCGAACCACTACTACACCACACCACTGTACCTACAGCTGAGTTGCCCTTTTTTTACAGTTTGGGAATCATGTGGGTGAGAAGTCTGACTGGGCTCTGTGACGCTCTACGGTCATAGGAGACCGGTAACTATAGTTTTAAATGGATTCCGAACCACTACAAACATCCTTGGTAGCTTTGGGACTCGAACCAGTAATCTGCGGCACCGAGAGCCAGAGCGCTGAACACTCGGCCATTCAGGTTCCTTTTCTGAACCATTAACAAACATCCATGCCACAGCCAGAATTCGAACCTGAAGCAAGTGGTACCAAAAGGCCAGAGCGTTAGCCAATTGACCATCAGGCCCCCAAAGGAATTAGGAGATTATATCTCAATAAAATATGAACTAAGAATGGGATAAACCAAAAATTATAATGGAAAAAATTGCACTCTAGATAAATTTGCGTATCAAAGATAGTCAACAAAATTTTGAAGCCATCTAAAGGAAGCAATCAACGAAAAATAACATATTGGAAATGGAAAATTTCATCAAAGATTTTATTACCAACAACTCTCCGGTCGTCCTTCGACTTTTACAGTATGTATCACAGGTCCTCTACCCTCATTGGAACTTGTCCACAAAATTGCGACAAGTGTGTTGAATTATAAGTGTATCAAACAATAAAAAAAAAAATGCATATTAGATGGAATGAGTTCATCAAGAACTGTTATCTGGGAGTTTCTGTTTGTTGCATATCCTATCATTGTATGTATCTCATGTCCTCCACCCACGTAGAACTTGAACCTATCTTACCCTATCCCTTTTTACAATAGGTCGATCGAACTGCGAAGTTATATGATGAGATTATAATAGGATGAAACATTGCAATGCGTCAGAAGGATTACTCAATAGTTGTTATCAATACCCATTCAGTCGTTGTGTTATTTTTTTAATTACATGGCTCCCGTATCCTCCGCCCACAAAAAGGCATCTCATTCAGAAACACAACTTACTGAAACAGGTTTATAGAACTTAAAAAAGATATCTTTCAGAGAATGTAATAGTCTAAAAAATGATGTAATGAAATGGACGAATTGTATTATCAACAACCATCTGGTCATGGTGTGTCTTTCATAACAAGATCTCCACCTATCCAGAGGGACTTGAACCTAAAACAACATCAGTTTCTGCAACAGGTTGATGGTACTACTTATCCCTCCCAGTCAACAACTATGTTCACAAAGGAAAAGCTCAGAATGCCGGGATGAAAGAGAAAAAAAGAACTCCAATCCCCAGTTGCATAATGACCTGCCTTGCCGCTTGATCGGACCCGCTTTCGAAACCCCGTTCGGTAGATGGGTCACATAATGGCCGACCTTGCACGCCACATCGCGGGCTCTTGCGCAAGTTATCTCTTTCTCTGCAACAACCCTGACATTGCTGGCCGAGGTCAGTCGCAGGGCTGGACCGATGCCAGGTGATCGTGAGTGGATATGCCACTTTTTTTGTGTGATCTTTCTCCTTTATGGGTGGGTGGATGTTTTGCTTCGGATGGTAGTAAATGTGTTTTTTAATTAGCTAGCTGCTTTTGAAGTTGATATAGTTGATAGCTTTGGAACGCGTTTAAAGAAAACTACAGTAAATATTTACTGTAGTTTAGAGAAATTGCTGAGTCATGCTGGTGCTATGCGAATACCGTAAGAAAAAAAAAAAAAAAAAAAAAAAAAAAAAAAAAAAATATTGCCTTGATCTTTATAAATTATATGAGTCAAGCAAAATGTCGTCACTTGGAACACTCATATTTTCGTCAGTTGGTTTTGTAATCATTTAATTTTCTTGCCATTTGGTATTATTTCTGAACTTTTTTTTAGCATATTTAATTTTCTCTTTTCACAGAATGACTAATTTTAATTTGCGGTCAACTTATCGCTTTTTCATTAAATACTATACTTCCTGTAATTCTAGACGTGGATGAAAAACTAGATATGAACCTAGCTTTTCATCAACTCCATGCTTCTATTCTTGCCCTACTACTTGCTACTCTATGCCTCTACTGTTGCTCTACTACTTGCTACTCTATATATTTAATCTTGCTCTACTGCTTGCTACTCTATGCCTCTACTGTTGCTCTACTACTTGCTACTTTATATCTTTTTAATCTTGTTCTACTGCTTGCTACACTATGTCTCTACTACTTGCTACTTTATGCCTCTAATCTTGTTCTACTACTTGCTACTCTATGCATATACTCTATTTCTACTACTTCCTACTCTATGCCTCTACTTTTGCTTTACTTGCTACTCTATGCCTCTACTCTTGCTCTTCTACTTGCTACTCGATATCTTTAATCTTGCTCTACTGCTTGCTACTGTATGCCTCTACTGTTGCTCTACTACTTGCTACTTTATATATTTAATCTTGTTCTACTGCTTGCTACTCTATGTCTCTACTACTTGCTACTTTATGCCTCTAATCTTGTTCTACTACTTGCTACTCTATGCATCCACTCTTTCTCTACTACTTCCTACTCTATGCCTCTACTTTTGCTCTACTACTTGCTATTCTATGCCTCTACTCTTGCTCTACTACTTGCTACTCGATATCTTTAATCTTGCTCTACTACTTGCTACTGTATGCCTCTACTGTTGCTCTACTACTTGCTATTCTATGCCTCTACTACTTGCTACTCCATGCCTCTACTCTTGCTGTATTATTTGTTATTCTATTCATCTTTTCTTTCAATACCGGTTTTGTATTAATGGTAAAATATTACATCTTGCCTTAAATCCCTCCCATGCGATTGTTGACGATTTCAGTATTTCGCTAGATCCCAATGGAAAAATGTTTTCCCCATTGCTTCTAGAATATCCCGGAGTGAACACAACGCAATGAGGATAAGTCTCTATTGCATCAGGGAATATAAGATAAAAATGTGTTTCATGGCCTGATGCAATAAGCCGTGGGAAGTACGTTTGTTTTTCAGAATTCGCAGTTGGGTTTAAATCAACAAGTGAAGCCAAACCGAAAGTTTTCATTTCTACACTCGGAATAAATACGCTAAATCTATAGACTGTACAATTATTCCATTTATTGTAGCAAGAGGTTGCTTACTTCTCAGATGCTTACCTTGAGTGATTTGTTCCAAACTTTCATGGACAAAAATTCAATTATCTATTCAAATAGCAGCTCTTCTTCTACATAAGCCCTATGCTGATTCTAAAATCCCAAATTCATCATCAACATTAGTTTATCAATCATCATCAACAAAATACTCAAAGAATCTAAATAGTTTCAAAGGAAAACAAAATTTTAGTGTATGTTTAATCTTGGTTCTCGAAAAACTGATTAAGCATTTGGATTTATTGGCTCGTGATTATCATTTTTGTATTAAAAACTGTCCTTTCTCATTACATGTTTCGTAACTCTTGATGTGGATAAAAACAAGATATGAACCTAGATTTTCATCAACTCCATGCTTCTACTCTTGCTACACTATGCCTCTACTCTTCCAATGTCAGATTTTCAATAAGGATGAAATATTACACTTTGCTTTAAATTCCTCCCATGCAATTGTTGACAATTTCAGTATTTTGCCAGATTCCAATAGTAAAATGTTTTCCCCATTGCTCCCATCACTACCACGTGATGGGAACAATGGAGAACGTGGATTCCAAACCACTAACAAACATCCATGCCCCCTCCAGGATTCGCACCTGAAGCCTGTGGTACTAAAGGCTACAGCGCTAGTCAAATGGCCATCAGGCGTCTTAAACCGAAGGCCCCGGTCTAATACGACTACTACTATACCACACCACACCACACCACATCATTGTGCCTAGAGCTGAGATATCCCTTTACAGTGTGGGAATGATGTAGGTAAGGATTATTTCCTAATGGAAATATTTGTCTTGCATATCTCTAAAATAGACATAATTTTCACCATCACTAATTTTTACCCCCATTAGCCCCCCACTTCAACTTATTAACGTTAGTCTTCAAAACTGTACTTCAGAATGAACTCCTTCTCCTTAGGAGTGGCATTTCGGGATTTAAATGCTTCTCCAACACAATGTAAGAACTTCTCAACCAATTGGAAACGTTTGGATGGCATCACTTGCCAGGCTCCATATAGAGCTCCATTAGATAAACCTAATGTGATAACTTCCAGTTCATTGTGGGCCAACGAATATATTTGATTTTATTTTACAAATGCCGAACATTGCCGCCTAAGCCATTAGTCACAGATCTTAGTACTGATTAAGTACTGATAAAATTACTACTACTACTACTACACAACATAACACCACATCACTGTGCCTAAAACTGAGTTGCCCCTTTATAGTTTGGGAATGATGTGGATGAGAAGTCTGAATGGGCTCTGTGACGCTCTACAGTCATATTAGACCGGGACCCACGGCTTAAAGTAGATTCTGAACCACTACAAACATCCATGGCATCGCCGCGACACGAGCCCAAAACCTGTGGTACCGAGCCCCAGAGCGCTAGCCACTCGGCCTCGGAGACCCCATTGCTCCCAGAATATCCCGAAGAGAGCCAACGGAATACCATGCTGAATATACCGGTTCTCGTTAGATCACCGAAGTCAAGCATCATTGGGCGCGGTCAGTACTTGGGTGGGTGACCACCTAGGAACACCGCGTGCCGTTGGCATTCACAAATTAGGGACCTGAATGGCCAGAGAGTCTAGCGCTCTGGCGCTCGGTACCACAGGTTTCGGGTTCGAATCCCGGCGGTGCCATGGATGTTTGTAGTGGTTCGGAATCCACTTTAAGCCGTAGGTCCCAGTCTCCTATGACTGTAACAGCGTCACGGGAGCCAAAGTCAGACTTGTACCTAAGGGTGGTCCATCACAACAGAAGCTGCTTTCTTCCCCTTCAATCATGAGTACGTATGGGCTCGTGGGCTTGGCCAGCCAAGTGGGATAAGAAACAACAACATATCCCAAAGATCAAAAAAGATAACAAAACGCAATGAGGATGAGTCTCAACCCTATTGCATCACGTAATATGGGATAAACATATTTTTCATTGCCTGATGCAATAGCCGTGGAAAACACGTTTGGTTCCTGAATTCTCAGAGTTGGTTTTGAAATCAACAAGTGAAGTTGAACCGAAAGTTTTCATTTTTAATGCTCGAAATAGGCATGCAAAATCTGTAGACTGTAAAATTCTTCCGTTCATTCTAGCAGCAGGTTGCTTATTTCTCAGATGATTATCCTGAGTTATTTATTCCAAATTTTGATGGACAAAAATTCAATTTTCAAGGCAGTAGCAGCTCTTCTTCTACATAAGCGGCCTGATGGTCAATTGGCTGGAGCTCTGGTCTTTGGTGCCACAGGCTCCAGATTCGAATCATGGCGATGACATGGATGTTTGTGAGGGGTTCGGAATCCATGTTAAACTGTAGGTTCCTCTAATTAGCCTATAGTGTGCACAAAATGTCTGTAGAGCGACAAATCAAACCAATCTTCAAAGTAAATCCAATGCTCATGCAAAAATAACAACTTCATCACTTTATCAATCATCATTAACATAATACTCAAAGAATTAAAAAATTTTCAAAGAAAAACAAAATTTTAAGGAATATTCAATTGTGAAGCCTACGATTAAAATAAATAAATTTATCAAAAAAAAAAAAAAAACAACAAAAAAACATTTAAAATTAAGTGTTTAAATTATGCTTTAGTAATAATATTTTCTCATTTAGGATTCTGTTCGAAATTTAATGCTAATAAGTCTCATTAATCTAACTGGAATTATCAGTCGCAGACAGTGCGCTTTCAGGTAACATTATGGAGTTCAGTTACGATTCAGTAGACATTTAGATATTTAGATTAGTAATTTAATTAATCACAATGCATAATTCAACATTGCATCGCAATTGCGGAGCGTATTATTTGATTACCTCAAGCGATTAAACAGACATTACTAACAAATGCAAGGTAATCTGCCAAAGTATGACAATTGAATAACTTATTATATTGAATAACTTGGTGAACAATATTCAATCATTGTTATCAATATATTTTTAATAATATGTTTTTGATCATATTTTTTCCCTTCCAAATAATACAAAATTGAATTGCCTTTTAAAATAAATATTAAAAAGGAATGCTAATTTCAATTAATGTTTCATGTCTAATAAATTTGAAAAATTAATTAGACAATATTTTGGAATGAAATATCGAACGAAATAAAGACCTTTCAAACTTGTGTTTGATTAATGTAATGAATTCTTTATTCGAAATTCAGTAGACAGAGAATACTTGAATTAATTGGAATGGATAATAAATTAACTTGTGATACTAAATGATGGCAATTAGGAAATGTAATCATTGAGGAAATGTAATGGAAAGAAATTTAATCATTGAGGAAATGTAATCGATCTATAGATCCTTTTATTTACGAATATAAAAAACAGCAAATAACAAATAAAAAAATTCTAAATTTTAAATTTCTGATTAGAAATAATTTTAATCCTCTGCATGATCAAACATATTTTTTTATATTGATTTATATGATACCGCTTTCTGTTTCTACAAAAAATAACCTGAGCTAATATATATGGAAATTACAAATTAACTTGTGCTAATACATATAGCAATTAAGAAATGTAATGGAAAGAAATGTAATCATTGAGGAGATGTAATCGGTCTATAGATTCTTTTAATTACAAACACAAAAAATTTCAAATAATAAATAAACAAAATACTAAATTTTGAATTTCTAATTAGAAATAATTTTAATCTTCTATATAAATCAAACATGATTATTATATGATTAATATGTTACCATTTTCTGTTTCTACAAAAATATGTTTATACAACTTCATTAAAATCTGTTTTGAAATCTCAATAATGCCACATTTGTGCATACAACTTATTAGCATATAGAGTATAGAGCATAATAAGTTAAGGCGAAAATTGTTGTTGTTGTCCCTGAAGAGTACAAGTTAATCAAATATCGTGGTGCTCCCGAATAATATTGGTTATGTTGATTGTCAGCTCGGAGTATAAATCCTCCTCCAGAGAGGGTCCAGACATTGTATGGCGGCTGCAACTGCTGGACAATGAAAGACATGATGAGGGGAGTAAGGTCGACAACAAGGCAGCTGCTACATTTTGGTATTTTTTAACGCCATCAGCAGAAATTATCATATTTTTGTGGTGCTTCATCTTAATCTTGTGATAACAGTAGTGGTTTTTCTGTTGACATTTAATTCTGTAATTTGGAATTTAGTTTTGATCTTAGAAGGAATTATTAGTTTATATTTTGCCAAGGGTTTGCATCTGCAAGGGAAGTAGGAAAGGCAGCCTGATCCAGACTTCTGGCATTCTTCGCCAAAAGAATCTGCAATTTCATAAAATTCCAAATCCACATGAGCAGGAATCCATTGCAGGATATACATTCTGTGCAATCAGTGTATTTGTTTTAAAAGAGATATAATGTTCAAGATCATACTTGGAAAAACCTTTATTAAGAGTCCGTAAGGCAGACGTTGAGTTAGTGAAGATAATAATTCCATTTATTTGTTGTTGTATAAGTAGACTCAGGAAGGCCTGAAGTGCCGTTTGAATGGTTGACAGTTCTTCTGTGAAGTTTGAGGTATTTTTTTCCAGCACAGGTAGCAATTTTAATTCTTTGCCCGTCGAGGAGCAGCAAGAAAACAAAAATTGAGTAGGATTATCCATTAGTGTAGGCAGTAATGTGATTGTGTGATAAAAGGGAATTTATTGTTTTGAATTCTAACCATTTGCAGATTTAATAAATAAATGTTTGCAATAGAAAGGTAATTCCAGTGAAACAGTGAGAATTCTTTTTAGTTTTGCGTTAAAAAGGAATTGCAGAGTAAATAAACGTTTTACCGGTTTATAATATGGGAAAATTCAAATTTTTCCGTTTTTTCATTTTGCTGTTGGGCATGTCTGCCCTTCACTGATTAATTGCATTATGGGTATTTTCTTTACCAGATGTCGTCTCTTCTGAGGAAGTAATTGACAGTTGCCAGTTTTCTTGTCGCTCTGCTTTATCTAATATTAGCTTATATGATCTGGCGTAATAAAATGCTTTCTGTTTCGTTAAATTTTATTTGGAAAGTATATCGTTAAAATGAGCAAATGAATCAAGAAAATTGCGAGAGGGAGATATCAAAAAATGATTAAAAACTAGCAAATTTATACCACCTGTACCTTGAAAAATTATAAATAAGAAAGAATCTAATATTTATAAATAAAGAGAATTTAAAATGCAAAGTATAAAGTTTAAATATAAAGTTTAACGTTTATATAACGGAATATTTAAAGCAAATATATTTAAAAAAATATCACAAAAGCATTACCTTCGATCATCAAACCACCAGATGATGCCAGGCATATATAATGATAAAAGGGTTAATATTTAATTTAAAATAATCAATAAGCACTAAATAACAAAAAAATGATAATTTCAAGACAAATAAGTTGGGCTTCTAAGTGTTTTATAGCTTTTAACTTTTAAGAAATACAGACAGTCAAATGATTTGATTTGATTCTTTGATTCAGCTGATAATTTGATTCATCTGATTTGATTCAGCTTTGATTCCCTAAAAAAGGTGATACATAGAATAAAATACAATAAAGTTGTCGTAACAACTAATGAGACAGACTTATCTTTCTACAGGATAATTATCTTTCTAAGAACAGAATTATCTTTCTATAAGAACTAAGATAATTCTATTCTTCCTTCCTTGAAATCTTATTAGTTCACTTACGGCAACATTATTGTATTTTGTTCTGTGTATCAACTTTTTTTAGGGTATGCGTAAGTTATGAATATTACTTCCTGTGAAGATATCATTTTGTTTCTACTGTAACCAGATATTATGTAATGCTTTTTGCTATATGGGAAACAAAAATTTACCTATTACCACAAACAAGATTGGTTTAGCGGTCTACAAAGGCCTGGTGTTTCGTACGTTGAGTTTCTAAATTAAGGAAGAATCCAATTTGCAGCCCAGCAAACAATCTGTGATAAAAGTTGCCTTTGCTTGTGATAAAGTGATAAATCCACAGGTAGAAAATTTCAAAGAGGGTTGTTGTAGTTTTTTATCCCACTTGGTAAATATCTAGACCAAGCCCACTACCCTGTATGGACTCATGGTTGAAGAGAAAGGGAGCAGCTTCTGTTTGTGATGGAGCACCCATAGGTAGAAGTCTGACTTGGCTCCGTGAAGCTCTGCAGTCACATGAGAACGGCTACGGCTATCCGCTACGGCTTAAAGTGGATTCAAGATGATTACAAACAATCATGGCACCGCCGGTATTCGAAATCGAAACCGAACCGAACCACAGAGTGCCAAAGTGCTGAGACACTCAGCTATTCAGACCCTCAAAGAGGGTAGAACCTCTTTCGCTGAGGAGACTACTACTACACCACACCACACCACACCCCATTACTGTACTTAGAGCTGAGTTGCACCATTACAGTTTGGGAAAGATGTGGGTGAAAAAAGTCTGAAAATTGACTCTGTGACGCTCTACTGTCATATGAGAGCGGGACTTACGGATTGGATTCCGAACCACTACAAACATCCATGGCACCGTCAGGATTCGAACCAGGGATCTGTGATACCGAGCACCAGAGAGCTAGCCACTCGGTCGGCCACCAGG